TTTTTTATTATTATCATTATTATAATTATAATTATAATTATAAGAGTCAGTTTTGTTAGTTAATGTAATTATTTTTCTTTCTTTCTTTCTTTCTTTTCTTTTCTTTTCTTTTCTTTTTGCTTATATTTGTGTAGACAATTCATATCAATGTCAACTTAATTATCGCAAACAAAAACAAAATAAAAAAGACAAGTATTTGGAGGTTTTTCACTGATAGACATCATCATTATGGATCGCAGATTACCCTTGTATAATTCCGCACTCACCCGCCACCATCTAGATTAAATGAAATTAATTAGTTGAATTACTTATAATAATAGGTAATTAAAAATTAACTAATTAATATTATYACCTAGTACGTGCTCAAAACTCCAGCAGACAAAGTCTCATGGGCGTAGCAAGGGTTAGATGTAGAGGTAAGGGGGGACGAGGGGGGAACACCACCCCCCCAAAAAATTTAAAAATCGTATATTCTTTTTTTTTTTTTTTTGTGAAAGGTAGTAAGTTTCACTTCTATTGATTTCATAGTTTTTCTTTAATGAGAATGCAATTTACTGTTTTGCACCACAGCACCAGATTTCGTTAATTCATGCGGGAATCCTGTGGATATGGCGCTACGCGCTATACGCCACTGCAAAGTGTAAAATGTCAAAAGTCAGTCTTAGCTGAACTGAAGGTGCACAGACCTTTTAAAAAATGAATCCGATAAACGAGAATTGAGTTAAAATAAAGTACTCACGTGAAAGAGGAAAGTACTCACGTGACCCTATAGGAATAACGACGCCAAAGACCTCATTTACTTCCTTGGCCACTCTTAAGGTAAAGGCTCGATCACCTTTGGCCCTCTCATGCTTTCACTTGGGCTGGGGATGCTGGCATACTTTTCTTTCTCTCCAGTRGAGCCCAAGATTGCTACGATGTCTCGGGCCGGCGCACACTAACATTTTCTCTATTTGCTGTGTTGTTATATTTAGACAACAAAATCAATTCGCATTCCGTGAGATGTTCCTTGGACAAGTTAAACCTTCTGAAACGATCTGAAACATCCCGTTGGCAACTGTACGGTTAAGATATTCCAGCTCAAATTGACCCATATATTCTCCACATCCACCTTTGTCTTTAAAGGACATAAAGCAAGCCATACTTGTTGATCTTTATTTCACACTTATTAGTAACTCGGGGAAAATTCTGGGCGTTTGACGACACCAGTCATTTACATTTTTTCCCCTCTCCCTTGTCACGCACTCATAAGGTGATAAATAAAATCAAGTGCATACTTTGATAAAACTAAGCCGACGTTTTGAATACTTTTTTTGACGTTTACGACCACATTAGGAAAAAAAAAAAAAATCCAAGACAGAACCTATGTGTTGTCGCCGAATGGGCCAGTGCGTTGCGTGACATTCAAACTCTTATTAAGCACCGCGCAAACAGAGTCTAATATTGAGCAAAATTCAGGAAAATACAATAATATTTTTAGATAAAAATCTTTCTACTTTTCATTTTTCACTAGCTCAGACATTTATTATCTGATTTAAAAGCACATTTCTAGCCAGAATTACCTATGACATTTTCACAGGCAACCCAAGCTCACTACATTCATAAGAGAATGTATGGGGATTTAGAATATGCCGTATTTTATTTGGAAAACGTGAATAAAAGTTTGTCGACTTACCTGTTGTGTCATTTTATTTATTTTGAACTCCTGTATACAGCTTCACTGAGTTTTGAAGCGTATTTAAGAAAAAAATTCCAACACTAAGAAATAATGACAGGGTAGGAAAGCTGCCGAGCCGAATTCGCTCACTGGTGTCCACTTCGAACCGTTTTTCTCAGTAAATACGAATCCGACGAGGAATTTGCTTTACATGAGCACGAAGGAATAGTCTGCCAATAAAACTTTGTGATTCAATTGGATCTAGCTGTAGCTACGAACTTGCAGTCCTCCCTTAACCTTTAAAAAGTTACTCCAACGAACGCCAGGAAATCCTTGATCACGGCTGCTCGCCCAACTTTCACGGCCAAGGACWGGAAACGAAATTTCACCACTCGGGGAGGGGGGTCAACAGAATAGGGCGCATTATGCTACCTACCGGAGCGGAAAATGCTTTGCTAATCGAAAACTAACTCAATCTCGAACCCAGAGCCCACGTTCCTCATGGTCAGCGCCGAGAAACGAGAGGCTCTGGTCGTAACCGATTTTCAGTTGGCTTCCGGTCCGTGAATTTCGGACCGGAAGCTTCAACTGCGCATGCCTTAATCACAGATAAGCTGATGTATGGGTTACCTTTGATCTTCAGGGATTCAAATTTTTTCGAACAAATGGTAATCAATTTTTGACCTTTTTAGCTTGAATATAGTAGTTAAATTATTTATCCTTTGCCTTCTTATAGATTATTTAGTAAATTTTTCCCCGGGTACTAATTGCTTGTGCTATTTTGTGAGTTTTTAACGTTTTTTTGAGTTCAAATCATCACGACAAATGCAAGAGCGATCGGCCGCCAACTCGACTCGCACTAATCCTCGTGAAAATTTCCTTAAATTCCAGTCTCCTTCTCATCTACTTCGGGTATGCGAAAGATTGATTATCGTACCACATTCTAGCAAATTTTGAAGGCGATCCAAGCCAATTTGGTGCTTGAAAAATCCACTTATTTCCTGACATTTTCGAGTCTGTTGGCCATTTTATTTCCGGAACGACTCTTTCTATTGTTTTCCCCGGACCAATAGGAATGCTTAAAAAATCGGTTACAACCAGAGCCTCTCGTTTCTCGGTACTGAGCAAGAGGAACGTGGGCTCTGGGTACGAGATTGAAACTAACCCTCCTTGATTATACTCCAGTTCGTCCTATCTTTCAGTAGTTCTTCAGAAAAGTCGAAGAAATAGTCACCTATTCCACGTTCGGCTCTTCTTTGGAATTAACCAAGGAACAACTGTACTTCGCCTTTCTACCTACGAACTCTGAGGCTCTCGATCTGACCATCAAAGACGACTGCTGTTGCTTTGTGGGAGAGTTTTAAATGAACGGTTGTCAACTTGATCTTCCTCAAAAAAATGAAGCATACTGACCTTGTATCCCGAGGAGGGGGGGGGGGGGGGGGGGGTAATGAAATTCAGTAAAAGCTTAGCAAAAGACAACAAATAAATATAAAAAGATTTTGCCTTAGTGGAATAAAGCCAAGAGGATCTACCTCAAATTACTGAGAGCAGTCGGCTAAGCGCTAAGGAAATTATAACGAAAGAAATGCCGAAAGATAGGACTAACTGGAGTGTAATCAAAGAATCTTGGGTTGACTGTRGTGAAAACTTTAGGCAACAAATCGATTGTAAGCGCCGTGACTCTTGAAGGTCG